TTTCTTCTCTTAACAGTGAAAATTAGACCAACACTACGAAAATGTAAACAAACTTGGCGACGAACAAATGAAATATGGAATTTAAAATGTGGCGCCAAAGCTAAAGGCATGCCCAAGATAGTGTTGGCGTTTTTTTATGTATGTTCTTGCCCAAAAGTGTCCTCAATTTATACTATTTAATATAAAACGCGTACCTCTACACACCCTTCGGGGCATTTGCTCTTTTTTAGAGAAAAAAACAGAAACTCAAATTCCTCGTCATCTAATTCATTTTGATTTAGTGCGGATAAAATCTGACGCAATCCGTGGTTTTGCTGTTGTTAAACAGCCCAAATAATTGATAATCTATTAATTTTACTCCCACATCGGCAGCTTCAGCCATTTTTATTTACGTTTTCATGAGCCACAGCTGATCGATCAGCTGTTATTGGATGCGCATGCACTTTAACGCAGCTCTGTGGGAACACGAGTTTCACTTTTTTTTTTAAATCCCAACGGTTCTACACAAATACGCTAATAGGGTCTTCCCACACACCGTCAAAGCGCATTCACCGTCCGTGCAACTCTGATTTCTTCTTCTTAACAGTTAAAATTTGACCAACACTACGAAAAATGTAAGCAAAGTTGGCGAGGAACAATTGAAAAATGAAATTTAAAAAGTGGCGCCAAAGGTACAAACATGCCCAAAATAGTTGTTGGTGTTTTTCTGTATATTCTTGCCCCAATTGTTATTATTTAATACAAACCGCCTACCTCTACCTTATTTTAAAGACTTCGGATGCCTATACCACCTATATACACTCTTCGGGGAATTTGCTCTTTGTTAGAGAAAAATCATTAGAAAAACTAAAATTGCTTCTCATTTAATTCATTTAAATTTAGTGCGAATAAATTCTGACGCAATCTGTGCTTTTGCGGTTGTACAACAGCAAAAATAGGGTAATGCTCCATTTAAAATTTTTAACTGCCAATTCGACAGTCTTTGTTTACGTTTTCATGAGCCACAGGTGATCGATCAGCTGTTCAGATTCGGATGCACTTTAACGCAGCTCTGTGGGAACACGAGTTTCGCATCTGCGAAAAATCCCAAACGTTCCTCACAGATGCGCTGTGTGGGAAGACCGTATAAGCCTTTTCTTTTTCTTAATAGTAAAAGCACAGATACAACGATTGTCGAAAAAACATCGATTTTTTAAAAAATTTGAAAAACATCAATGCATCGATAAAAACATTTTGACGCACAGACGCGCACATAGATATATATTAAATATAAAATAAGGATGATAATGGATTATACAATAGGAAACTATGAATATATGGAATAGATTTGAATTAAATGCGCGCGCGCGCCACGATCAGGCGCAAAGGGTCACACTGGCCCAAATGAGGATCTGGCCACACTCTTAAGGGCAAATTTCTCCGGGCGCGTCGGTCACACTCGGCCGCACCGGAGCCCTATATAAGGCGAGCTCCAGCGTTGGGAGGCATTCAGTTTTCGGCCAGCGATCGGCCAAGTCCTCTAACAGGAGCTAAGGGGAAGCCAGCAGCAAGGAGTCACCCAAGGAGCACGGTTAAGTAAGGTATAGTGGTAAGCGGTAACCCATAGTCGGGATCCCGACCATATCTTACGTCTATAACTTGTGGAGGACTTAGGGCCTCTCTGTACGTCTCAATATTGGAAGACCTAAGGGCCTCCCTATAAGTCTCTATATATCTCGGTAGACCTTAGGGCCTCCGTGAACGTCTCAAACTTAGAAGACCTGAGGCCTCTAACAACTTCTCAATCTTAGAAGACCTAAGGGCCTCTAACAACTTCTCAATCTTAGAAGACCTAAGGGCCTCACGCAACTTCTCAATCTTAGAAGACCTAAGGGCCTCTGACAACTTCTCAATCTTAGAAGACCTGAGGGCCTCTAACCACTTCTCTCATTTAGAAGACCTTAGGGCCTCTACAAACTTAGAAGACCTTAGGGCCTCTACAAACTTCTCATCTTAGAAGACCTTAGGGCCTCTACAAACTTCTCATCTTAGAAGACCTTAGGGCCTCTACAAACTTCTCATCTTAGAAGACCTTAGGGCCTCTACAAAATTCTCCATCTTAGAAGACCTTAGGGCCTCTACAAACTCCTAAAGATTGGAAGACCTTAGGGACTCCACAAATCTGCTCGCTAACTGGAAGATCTCAGGGTCTCCGCTAACAAGTTAGTCCACTAACTGGCAGACCTGAGGGCCTCCACCAGTTATTCTCACTCTAGGAGATCTGAGGGGCATCCGCGCATCGGCGTTTCACCGACACTGTCGACCCGAGCGGGAGGGATGTACCTGACCCTGAAGTGCGGCGTTCCAGAGCGACTGCCCACGGCAGCAGACTAAATCCAATCCAAACAGTTGTAATGTTCGAGGCAATAAACAAATAATAATAGTTACGGCATATTTCTCGGCGTTCTCCTCTGTGACCGGGTCGGCATCTCTTTCAGCAACCACCTCAGACAACAAATAAATTTCTGAGACGAACCCTGGCCATCCTTGAGCCCCGAGGAATGACCTAACCGTCACAACATCGATGTTGTTAGACGTATACCTCAAAAAATGGTAAATTGTTTTTAACAGGCACCTAATAAAACAGTGTTGCACTTAATGCGGCGACTCCTTTCCTTAAAAAGGCGGATTATCATAGGGTGTTTCCACAGAGCTCGCATCTGCATCCACCGTCCGTTTGGAGCCTATACCACCATACAAACTCAGGCTTGCTCCGGTAATCGTAAAATTTTTTCGATTTCGTTTTGGACGAAAACGAACCGTTTTCGTTTTTAGCTGCTCCGGTTTTCGGCAAATTTCTGCTATCGGAACGTTTTGTTTTCTCATCGTTTCTCACTGCCCAAGCAGCTAACTTGTGTTTTTGGTAATAGGCAAACAACGTAAAGTACTGCCTATTATATTTACAATTGCTCTTTTTATTAGCCAGAAAAAGGCAAAAAATGCTAGAGTTAAGTAAATCTCGTCATCTAAGATGCTGCCACACTTTTCACAGCTTTAATTCCGGTGGTCTCAAATAATTATTTGGTATATTTGGACCATTTATGTAATCACATTAAATATCATTATTTATAAACAAACATTTTGGCGGTCCTTTAAAGTTATTAATGTATTCATTTATATTTTATACGTATTTTTATCTGGTTTTTTCATTCCACCGACAATATGGCAACCTTGGCGATAAATTTTTTGCTGTGAACTTATCGACCTATCGCCAAAACGAGAAAACTGGTTGAACACGGCAAAAATTTTGTTGTCAAATCTGAGGTGGGGTCAGAAATATTTTTTTTTTTTAATAACTACGTGCCAGAATGATCTTGTGGTGGTGTGGAATAAACATCAATAGACCACTGAGTAATCCTTTTTTTTCCTTTTGTAAATAAGATCTGATTTCATATAAAAAAGCCATTTACTTTTCATTCCGGCTAGAAAAAGGTGCCCGTTTTTCAAATCGAAAAAATGTTTCGTTTTCGATTACAGGAACACCAATTTCTCGTTTTCAAAAACGAAAACGAAAAAATCTTGCCGTTTTCGATTACCGGAGCAGGCCTGACTATCTTCGAGGCATTTGCTCATACCCTGTAGTACTGTAGCCACTGAGTCAAATCAGAAGCTAACGTCGGGAACCCGAATACATACAATTTGAAGGAAAGAGCAAAAATATATGTCGGGTTCCCGACATTAGCTTTTGATTTGACTCAGTGGCCCAGTTGGTAAGCAGATGGTCTGTGATTTCTGAGACATGGGTTCGAATCCCGACCGGGAACTAGGAAAAGTAAGTTTATAAGTGGCTTTTAATAAGATTTATACATTAATATAAGTAATTTAATAACCGACCTAAGCTCGAAATCATGCCCACTTGATTTTGAGCACTACTTTATCCCAGATTTTTTTTTGTCTACTTAGATAACCGACCATTCCATGGGGTCCCATGTAAGTACTTACATTACCGACCATTCCATGGGGTCCCATGTAAGTACTTCCATTACTTCCAGCTAGTAGCTGGTTCGCAGCTCGTTTACCGTAGTAAGTACCCATATAGTAACCGACGAAGTAAGCAACTACGCAAGGCCAATCGCCACCTCCAGTACTACAGGGTAGTTACTATCAGTTACAGAAAAATCATAAAAAAAATTAAATTAAACAGCCGTAATAGTTGATTAACTATTAATTTCTCCCACATAGGCCGCCTCAGTCATCTTTGCTTACGTTTTGGAAGGGGCACAGCTGATCGATCAGCTGTAATGAGGGTGCAGATGCAAACTCTGTGGTAAGACGAGTTTCGCATTTGTGAAAAATGCCAACTGTTCCACACAAATGCACTAAGTGGGAAATGCACTGCATTTGCGGCTCAACAAAAATACACAATAAATGAAACAACAATTAGTTATTAATTAAAAATAAGTTATTATTGAAATATAGCTACAGATTCCACTGAATTAAATTCAAATTATTTATATATTCAAAAAATAAAACGATTTAATACTGTCTTCCCACACAGCACATTTGTGAGGAACGTTTGGGATTTTTCACAAATGTGAAACTCGTGTTCCCACACAACATTAAAGCACATTCAACATCCGAACAGCTGATCGATCAGCTGTGGCTCATGAAAACGTAAACAAAGGCTGTCGAATTGGCAGTTGGAAATTTGAAATGGAGCATTTACCAACTATTTTGGCTGTTGTACAACAGCAAAAGGCACAGATTGCGGCAGAATTTATCCGCACTAATTTTAAATGAATTAAATGACAAGGAATTTTAGTTTTTCTATGAATACTTACGACGTTCCTCATTGCCACACATCTACCGTCGTTGCCTACACCATCAGTTTAATATCTAATAAACTTTAAATATAAATATTATTTAATTTATAAATATATTTTAGTGATGAATCAAAAACATCGATAGTCACCAACTAATATCGATGTCTCCAAAAAAATTTAAAACATAAACGCCTCGATGTTTTTATCGATGTTTTTCCACCTCTAATCACACAGAAAGTACTAGGTACCCGCACAATTTATGAATTATTGTGGCTTTTACCTATTTGTAAATAATTAAGATCTGCAAACTTGCATTCAAAAACATTAAAAAATGATTTTATATTTTCAGATAATCATGAGCTCAGATAAAGATCCTGACTATTCTATTCGACGAAACTTGCGACAAAGACAAAAAAAAAAGTGCGAGTCAATTGAGCAGAGTATAATAGATTTGGATAAGAATAAACGCAAAACAAAAAAAAAAGGAACCTTCTACGGGAAAAATAGCGCATACGACGAATATGGAAACATTCGCTCCAACGGATTGGACATCTGTAAGTGTTCCACTATAATTACAAAATATGATAAATATTGCTTTTCATTTCAGGCGACTGTATGAATGATGAATGTGATGGTTGCTGGTATGCATGCCGTTGTTGCGGTTCTACAAAATGCGGTCCTCAATGTCGCTCAAATAGGAAGTTTTTTTATGAAGGCATTATATATGATGGCAAGGATTTATCTATAACTAATAAATATGTTACCAAATAAGTTTCACTGCACATACACTCAACCGTATATTTTTGCGTACACCCCATAAAAATTTCAAATTAAAATTTTTTAGATGTTATTGTGTGTTTCCGGATCCTTTTCTATATTAGATCCCATAAATGTTCAATTGGGTTGAGGTCAGGACCCCTGTGGAGGTGTTCGCAGCTAATTTTTAGCATTATATACACTGACGAGCAAAACTGTAACACGAGTTCAATACTCGAACTTCTGTTCTTATGTAAAGATTCTAAAAATCTTAGTCTTGTTTTGTTGGTATGTGTATACACTATGTTTCAAAAAAATTTAAAGTCATTCGATTGAGGGAGAAACATATGCTTAAGCCAAGTGTAAAAAAAGTAAAATGTTACAGTTGTGCACCCAGGTTATTTTCGATCAAATATTTTTCTTAATTTTTTTTAATAATGTGTCCACAGCCCCTTAGGCTTTTTAAGTTATCCTATGGGTTTTGACATACTCTGGGTGTAGCGTTGCACAAATTCGGGGGATTAGCGTACCAGACGTCCTTTGTCCTCTCCAAAAGATCCATCAATCCATTTGGAGGAACTGCATATTTCGCGAATTGCGATTTAGCATGATTCCATAGGTTTTCAATTGGATTCATATATGGAGATTCTTCGGCTTCGGCTCGTCGGCTACGGGAGTGATGGTCTTGCCCAGACCTCGGGATGCCTATGCATAATTTTAATGTCAATAATTGCGTGCATCATCAAGCTAAACCGGGGATAGAGGTACACACACACATAATAAGAGGCATTGGGAATTAAAGGATATTCTCATCTCGGCCTATTCTCCTTTTTTAGCTCTCCTGGTGTTTTGGAGGCTCTAGATTGCCCACCCTACCTATGGTCGCTCATACCCTTAGCGCTACACAGCCTAAGCGACCCCTTTTATAAGTGCTACCCTACATTACAACACGCTAGCCGCGGCCACTTTTAGTTTAGTCTAGAACATTATAAAATTTATTAAAAACTAGCGATAAATAAAAACATTTCTTAAACTAAATGACAATAATGGGCGATACATATAATGAGAACATACAATTAATAAATAGACGTGATAATAAATATGGTGCAATAAATAAAATGTGTTAAATTATAATTTCCTTCTCAATTTGGACATTTCTCGTAAGCAAGCATTATGAAATTGGAAATATGAAAAGCATTTTTCTCTTTATATTTAAGGTTTAATCTTCAGCGTCAAAAGAAAATTTTGTTCTTTACACATAAACATAGATGTTGCGATGCTGGCGAAGGTTAGCTGCCCGCGCTAGATGCCCAATTTGAAAAGGGCGGTAATTTGAATTTGTTTAGCGTTGTATAGCACCGAAATTGTTCTGAACAACACTAAATTAGTATTGTAAAACACCCTTTTTTGCGAGAATGAGACCGCTATATATGTAAGCGTCACTTTGTGAATTGAAGAGCGGCAAACCACAAATGTAAGATCAGAGAAAATGTAAAACTTCTTTACTTTTTAACAAGATTAAATAAAGATTTCAGCGCTGTTGCTATCAGTATACTACAACCAGGCGCTTGTTGTACGTGGTGAAACCCGGGACCCAGGAGCGTCCCAACAATAGAGCTAATAAAATATTAAAACAAAAAGCTTTTAGCTCAATATGCCTCGGGCGGCATTGCCAACTATATTGATCTTTGCTCTCTTTTCTTTTCCGTCTCTTTATTTCTCCCCTTGGTTTAGGTTAGAATTTAATTTTATTTTATTTATTTAGCGGATCATTTTACTTTGTACTTCCTTCCTTTTTTTTTTTGGAATTTATTCAATAATCATTCGTTTAATGAGCCACTCACCACATTCCATGTATCCACCGATGAAAGCGCTTTCCTCGGGAGAGCTAGCTGAAACTGGGAGAAAATTACACAAGAAAAAAAAATCACATCTAGAGAAAATCACAATAACTCCTAAAGGTCGGGGAAAAACTTTTCAAGACGATGGCTGGCAAAAAGAATTAATTATTCTACACTCCTCAAATTGCCGAAAATGCTTAGATGCTCATCACTTATGTTGTTTTTTTCCATATTTTTTTTTGTAGCACTTGTTTAACCTAACTTATTATTTCTTTCTATATTAAGCATTAAACTAAATTTTTTTTCCGCGAGTTTTAGGGCGCCTGGTTCTCGACGCAGGAAGTTTTCCCTTTTTCCCTTTTTATTTATCTGCGATCGCCAACCGTCAAATCATGGCTCAATTCCACGGCGACATCAAACGCCCGTATTCACAGAACGCACTAACTAGCTCGGCTTCGCCGAGACCTGGGCCTATGCCGACTCTGGAGCGGAAAGCTCGCTCGCGGTTGGATCGCCGATTGGAGCTGGCCTGCCTTCTTTTTTCTGATTTCTCTGGCTGGCTGCTCTCTAGCTGGGGACAAAGGTCTTTACCGCCTACGGGAACTCTAGCTTGCTGCCGAAAAAGGGTTAATTCTTTCCTTTCCCTCGGGTTGCGCTGCTGCGCGGGGTGATGAGGGCGATGCTCGTTCGGATGCGCTTTAGTTTCCTTATAGTACGCTGCGCCGGAATCGGTCCTCTCTATCTTGCTTGCCCCTCTCCTCCCTGGAGCCGTCGAGCGATACAAGCTGCTGCCTACAGACCACCAATACTTGTATAAATCCGCCAGCACTTTCGTTTTAATTCTGCTCACCTTCTGCTTTTGGCTCAGTAGCCCACAAAATAGATCTTTCCTTTGGGCTTTTGGACACAGCTATCCTGATCACAATTACTAAGGCTGATACACTGGTCCAGTCGGACTTTACTCCTTGGCGGCCACAGACAGAAAGAAAGACGATGACGCCGAGAAAGTGGCGGTAACCCCCATGGGAAAGTGGGTGAAATGGAGACAGTTGACACTTGCCGCTGTTGCTCTCTCGGATCTATTCGTTCATGCCTTCTCTACCCTATCTTGCCATAGTGGCAATGCAGCCCCTCGACCTACGACTGACCGCCAGATGGCGCTAGCAAAGTATCTTTTGGGCCGAGCAAGCGCTACAAAAATACCCCCCTAGCAAGATCAGGCTTGGGGATCAACCGTCCAAGACTGATTACTACTGCCTTATATCCTTGGCATGGAATCTGCCAACGTAACGGCCCTGCAAGTCCTCGAGATCATAATAAGCCTGTCCAATCATTTTCTTAATCCTTGCCTTTATGAAAGACGGACCTAATTTCGCGTTATACCCTGCTGCAAAATTGCTCTGCTTAAAATTTCTTCGGTAGACTTCTTGGCCTTCACTAAAAGATACCTCATTTGATCGCAAATTATATCTTTTTTCGTTTTTCTCAAATTGATTTTTCATCACTTCCAACGCTTTGCTGCGAACAAGCTCTAGTGAATCCTCCTTAGTGAATGCCAGAGACCTATCTTCGAGCAGATTAAGAGCTCTAAGCAGCTTATATGTTGCACCTGACGAGATAAAATGCTGCCCGAATATCATATAATAGGGTGAAGTGCCTAGACTTGAATGAACTGCTGATCTCAGAGCACAGCAGATACTGCTTAACTGATCATCCCAATCCTTCTGGTCGCTGCACACATACGATCGTATGGCAGCTATTACAGATCGATTTACCCGTTCGGACGCATTAGCTTGGGGCGAGTAAACTGCAGTACAAGTATGCGAAATCTTGTATTCCCTTAACAGCTTTTGGAATACTTCCGATTTAAACTGATATTTTATAACAATATCCACTGTCAATTTCTTCACCGCCTTAAGGAAATCAAACTTGCTGTAAGGGTCTAGCACAATAAATATAGCCACATTCCCACTTCTTGACCTAGGATACGGACCCAAAAAATCCACATATAGTTTTTGGAAGCTACTCCCATGGGTGGTCTCAATGTGCTATTGGGAGCCTTAGACATCTTGCAGGTGTCGCTCGCCTGAATGTATTCCTTCACGTCCTTCACTAATCTAGGCCAGTAATAATATCTCCTTATCCTCTCTAGAGTTTTATGGACCCCTCCATGTGAGGCTAAGGGATCATCGTGCGCATTCCTGAGAACTTCAGGCACCAAGCCCATAGGAATCCATAGCTTCCAACAAAAAATGATCATGCATCAGGTCTCCTGTTAAATGCTCTGTCTTTTTATAGAGAAATCCGTCAGCTACTTTTAGATCTGGAATATTACTTGCATTAGCCTTAACCTTTTCGACTAACTCTACATAGCCAGAATCGCGAAAATGGGAAGATTCAACATCAAATAATAGCCCATGACTTGCATCTACGGCCGCTATCTCTTCCTCATGGACTCGGGATAACGCATCTGGGACCACATTCAGCTTACCACTCCGATGTTCAATTTTGAAAGTGAAGCCTTGAAGTTTCAACGCCCACCGAGCAAGCCTAGAGTTTAAATCCGTTTGGGACATAAGCTACTTGAGGGACGTATCATCAGTAATGACAGTGAAATCATGGCCCTCCACGTAAGCTCGAAATCGCTTTATGCAAATAATTGCCGCCAAACACTCCTTCTCGCTAACAGTGTACGACTTTTGAGCCTTTTTAAACTTTTTCGAGACAAAAGCTATCGGACATTCTTCGCCACTTTCAGATTTCTGCACTAATACTCCTCCAACTCCGGAGTTACTAGCACCGCAATGAATATAAAACGGCTTACTGAAGTCCGGACTACGAAGAACTGGGGCAGAACAAAGCATCTCCTTTAATTTTGTAAATGCTTCTTCTCCTTCCGGAGTCATAACAAATTTTTGCCTGGGCTTTAAGAGATCAGTCAAGGGAGCTGATACCGCTGCAAAATTGCTAATGAATTTTCGGTACCAAGCGATAATTCCAAGAAATCTTCTTAATGCCTTCAAGGATCTTGGTAACGGAAACTCCGTCATTGCAGATATTTTATCTGGATCTGTTCGCACTACTCGTTCGCCCACTATATGACCCAAATAATTAACGTTTTTCATGCAAAATTTGCTCTTCTCCACATTGAGTGTCAAGCCAGCGGCTTTTATGTGACTGGCAACTGTTTTCAACACCCTTAAGTGACCCTCAAAGCTGTCTGAGACAATCAAGAGATCATCCAGATACACAA